CCACTTGAAATATTCAACAAACTTTTCTACAGAACTTGTTAGTTTATTTTAGAGAAATTAGAAATGCAGAAGCTAGAACTAGTAATCTGCACTCAGAAATTATGATGCATAAATAAATGAATGAATAAAATTAAAAAAGACATGGTTAGATTTGGAAACTATTTCTGTATTTATATAGTGCTTAATGCATATTAATGAGAATTTTAAGGGGGGTTGTTTGTTTCATGTTCTAGTCTTGATTTAATTGACTAAGTGATTATCTCTTTTATTTGAAAAATATATACATACAGTAAGCAAAATATTTTGAAGCTGTATGGCTTCCCATTCTTCCTTCATCCTCTAATAATGATAGAACTTCTAGATCTCAATGAAAATAAATTTCTTCAATCTCTATTCAGATTAAATGTGATGAACTATCATATTGTGTAGGTTTCTAGTCTAGATTTAGTATGTTATACACTTCTGACTCTATAATCTTTATCTAATTGTTTTGAAAGAGGATTGGATCGGTGTCTTACAGTGGAACATCAGTGTATCCAGAGCTATGGTTTAAATCATTATCCACAGCTAGTCCATAATTTAAATAATTTGAGACTTTTGAAGATACTGTCCCAGAATTGGTCAGTTTTACGAAAGATAATTTAGATTGCTGGACATTTTAAACGTGGAAAAGAATCTTACAACAAATTGATCAAATACTACTGGGTCTGTTTTGGCTAAGAAATTTATTGAAGCCCAATGATAATGCTTAACTTTTGTGAATGCAGTGACTGTGCTCTTATCTTTTTAACTTCAGTCAGGCATAAAGACACTAGTGAAGCCAATCAGAAAACTGCACTTATTCCTTTTTTAAAAAAATTTAGTAGATCAGATGAAGGATATTTTTAATTTTATCAGAATCATCCGCTTTGATTTCAGAAGTCAACTGAGTAGCCTTACTTCTCCATTCTGAATTTGTACTTACTGTATATATACTGTAGATAGAAAAGGTTTTGGAATTCCAAATTATAGAGGCCTATAGGTATATACATTTCTTTAGTTGTAAAATTTCTGTAACCAAGGAATATATTTGAAATTATTTTTCCATGTTGAAATGCAAAACTTTATTTATAAAGTTGTGACTCAGATATAATGAACAGTTGTTAAGTGGCATATACAATATACAATAGTTAAGAGTCATGTTTGGTAAGATTAACATAGTGTAGTCATTTCACTGATTAGAAGCATATTTTATAATAGCAACAGCACCCACAATGCTAATATTAAAACCCACCAAATTATCCCCTTTAGTTACTTCTAATTTTCTTATTATCTTCAAAATTAATGGTCTCGAGTATCTTACTTTCAGAACAGAAATCTGGGGTTTTTTTTGTGAGATTATTTCATTGGATATTGCATCTCTATTTTCTGATTATTATTTAAAAGACCTTCAAAGTATCAATGAAATAAATGTTCACTTCTTTCAGGTACTTTCAGCTAACTATTGCTCTAAAGCAGTGGGTAACTTTATAATATAATAAATATTATTGTCCTGTTTCATCCAAACAGAGAGTTCCTCAGATTTCTAGTGATATATACTAGAAAGATCTTGTTTAGGTCTGAAAGGTGCAACTGTGTTTCAGAATATATTCTTGCAGATTTGGGAAGTTATTAACTAGGAAGTTAATTAGAAAGTGTTTTCATGAAACAGAAAAAAACCCAAGCAAACAAACAAAAAACAAACAGGAGAAAAAGAACTAGCCTTCCAAAAGAAGCTCTGTGACTAGAGTTATTTTGTACCACAGTATATCTGATAATAAAAATAGGAAATATTACAATTTGTTCTCACTCACCCTCAGTTGCAATTTCTCTAGTAATTACCTGCTCCTGGCAAATTCCTCGGGGGCACACAGCCCCTACCCCACTTCTAGCATGACACACTTCAAACAATCATTCTGCTCTTAATGTCAGTGACAGTCAATAAGACACCAGAAAAATATGAATGATTTTACAGTTCCTGTGCAGATGTAGCTTCCCACAGCTCTGTTGTTAAATAAAATGTTATTACAGGGGATACTTCTTCAAAGTATTTTAAATGCTAAGCACTGCCACAGTCAAGGCAGGGAAAGTTCTGCCCCATCTCTTACCCCTCCTTTTGCAGACCAGGCCTTCTAGCAGAAATGTTCTCTCAGCGGTACGCCTTGAGAGGTAAAACAAAGCAAATGATGGTGTACTGTCCTAGAGAGGTAACTTAAACACTGCAACAATGGACACTTTATCTTCCTTAAAAGACAATCAGAAGGCAGCAAAAGATTCAACAGTACTGTTGACTTGGTAGGAGAAGACTGGGAACCTTCACCAGAACATCTGTTCATAAATTACCAAAGCTGGTAGATTTTTATACACACAATAAAAAAACCCCACTTTATCCTTTCCCTAGAAATCATGCTAAAGGAATAAGGAATCCAGAGCTGAAAGTGCAAGTAATACAGGATTCACAATTTTCAGGGCACTGTCTGATTAGATACTGTTCACAATTTGCACACTTGCACTGTATGAATACACATCAGACAGCCAAACGTTGTGTGTGAGCAGAATTTGAGGGAAGTGTTACAGCTCCAGCTTTGCAACGGTATTGATTGTAAGGAAATACTGAGGCTGCACAGAAGTGCTAAACCTATCCCAACCCCACTGAAAATTTCTTCACAGTTTCTTATTATAAGCACCATCTATCAGCTACTGCTGTATTTCCCACAGTCTCCTGAAATTTCCACTTTCAAACTGCTTATACGGACGTTTGAATTTGGTTTCTCTTCCTGAGGACGTATGGATACGATTCCATAAAAAAAACCCACAAAAGCTCTTTTGATTTATTACCATCCAGAAACTTCAGGATGACCTTAGAATACAAAAGCATAATGCTTGAACCAAGCAAAGATGGGGACGAACAGAGCAATTGACTTGTGAAAGTCACCTTGAAATTGGTATTCAGAACTTTTTAGCACAACAACAAGGGTTTTTACTCCTTTTTCTTGTGTACATACATCACAAAATCACCTGGAAAGCAAAGGAGTTTCTGTCTTTGCATTGCGTTTAGTTTTGTCCTCAGCTGTTTTGAAATAATATACAGCGGTAAACTGAGCCATTCAATCTACCTTAAAAAAGAAATAAACAAATAATACCTATGGCACAACCAGTGACCTGCCTTATAGCACAGACCCACAAGAACTGAGGCAGAGAAAGTGGTAAACACTGCCAGGGGATCAACAGCCAGGTGTGGATGGGAACTTCCCAAGTTGTTCTGCTGCTGAGGATCACGTCATGTAACCACACATTTAGCATCTGCACAGACTTTAAGCCCCTCAACTTCCTAATGCATATTACAAACCTTTTAAAAAGTAACAAATACAGAAAATTTCTAGGCTTGTAACTTCATAAAAGGAAGTTACTAGCAAGGCACTCATCATTGTATTTATCAGAACTAAGCACAAGGAAAGCAATAAATGTATAGTAAAATGTAATTAAAAAAATCATAATATATGAAAAGACATAGAAGACTTTGCTAAAAGTTCATTGGAAATGACAATCAATTTTTATTAGATCAGCTTACATGAAAAATACTGAACTCTCAGACTCAGAGTGACTCTGAATGAGGTTTTTTTGTAATAGTAATTGATCTCATAACTTACACACCTTTACAATTCCTGCACCTCTTATATTCTTAAATTGCCATGGATAAGCACTACTGCTATACTATGCTATACTAGTGCTATATATCTGCGTTGAAAACATTTGTTTCATAACTGAGCAACTTAGTTGGGTGATACAATATCTTGTTCTTCATCTTACAATTGTTACACAGAGCAACATTCTTTGCAACTGCAAATAAGCACACACTCTTTATGTTCCTTTACGTTCTTTAGCAAAAGATCCGTACTATGATTTAGTGGATCCCTTAATTTCATGTGGTATAGTTTCATATTGCTGAGGAATACATAATTATTTGCAAATATAGCAGCTATACAGATATGATGAACTCATGAATGTAGGGAATCTTTATAGAAGAGCTTTCTTTATGGTAAACAAACCCTTTTGTATCAGTGAGTTATCAAACAACATCACAACTAATCTAATTCAAAACAAATTTAGCCATGGTTCCTGACCCTTAAACCTCAAAATTCCCAGATTTCTAATGGCCCTGAATATAATTATATTCTGATAATGCATTTATTAACTTATTGTTGATCACTACTTCAACAAACAAAGTTTTCCTTGAATACCATTAGCACCTGTTCATGATCACTTCTGGTATTTGAGCCACTTAGATTTCAAAACACATGGCATTTGGTTTTTAGACCAGCTTCTGTCACTTTGCACAATAATAATAGCATAAAGCTCTCAAGTAAGCTGTTTCCACACACATCTATATTGCAAGATCATTCTGATCTCCACCATAACTTGAGATTCTGCTTTACCGCAACATTCATTCGTACCTGGATTACTTTGATTAAGCCAGCCATGGTCTCTGAACCCAAAATCTATATGAAGATTGCTCACAAAACTTCTTAGACAATCCAGAATACATTACTGATTTGTGATGTCTCAAGGTTAATTTTTAGAACTACGCTACCAAAAAAATTTTTTCTCCACTTATATTTGCTTGGGTATGCAAAGCTGTATACTTGTGATTGTTCCTTAGCCTTCTACCCTTATTGCATTGTAGGAACTACATAAAGAATGCTTTATGAAATGTGTGCTAAAACCTCATAAAACTGTGAAAGAAATATTTAAAACCAGACATCTTCCAAATGTTAATAAACAAAGTACCAGAAATATAAACTCTGAGGACCCTCTACTATATCATAATACAGGGTGATTTTTTTTTCTTGAATTATAGTTACATAAGATTACAAAACATAAAATATATTTACACAGGATATTACAGCTTTTAAACAATTCTAAACATAATTAAAACATGAAAATGCATGACCATTTAATTGTTAAGATATGAAAAATCTTACCTGTTTGCTTTCTTCCAAATCAGATTCACTGCTAAATTCTTCTGTATTTAAATTTTCAAAATCTGATTCTCCAACTGCAATGGGCACTGTCACAGTGAGGCCTGGGTTGTTTATGAATGACATATAATCATTTTCATCAATTACGTATTTTTCCACACTGCTACCTGTGCCTACACCACTGGTGGTTCCATTCCCGTCTTTCAGATAATTCAGATCTTTGCTTATTTCAACAGCAGTATGATTGGAAATGCAGCTGTCTTTCTTGTTGTTTAGCTCTTCAAGTGCTTTGATTTCCTCTAAAGATTTCTGCTTTCTAACGAAGGCTTTTTGGATGAACTCCTGTATCTTTTTTTTAACATAATCTATTCCCTTCTGGATCCTTGCCACAGCAATCTGGAGATTGTTCATTTCATTATCATCATCTGTAGCAGCAAGGTTGTCTGAACTAAATGAGCTCAGCAGCAAGGCCAGAAATAGGTTCAGTACCTAAAAGATGAGAAAATACAGAGGTATAGTAAATACATACATATAAGAAGTGATAGACTTGGCAATGCTAGATTAACAGTTGTACTTGATGATCTCAAAGGCCTTTTCCAATTTAAACAATTCTGTGGTTCTAAAAAAAATTAGTAGAGCAGGTTGCTGATCATAAATAACTTTCTGGAGCTCTGCACATTTCTGTTGAGAATGTCAAGACTGCAAGGTCACAGAAATGACCAGGGTACAAACATTTTGAACTCTATTTTATAAAAATTTTAATCATGTTAAAATATATCACTAAAGAAACACAATTTTGACAGATAATGAATTATAGGTTTTAAGCTTATCAGAATGAACCACAATGTTTAACAATAAAAGCAATTTAAAAATAAAGTATAAACCATGCATTCTATTTACAACATTGATTTCTAAGAAGTTCTCACCAATTCAATATTTAGCAATTGAAATTTCACATTTTAACTTGTCAGCTTGATTTAAAATTTTTCTATAAATGTTTCTTGTACAATTTTGAGTTATAAGCTTTTAAACACATTTTTAGGCTGGATGGCCAATCACTCTGTGTTTAGTTTTTTGGGTTTTACACCTAAAAAGCCCAAAAGTTCAGTAGCTAAATTCAAAATACTCTAAACAAGACCATCTACACTATACATAATTTTTATTAAGCCAGAAGTACAAGTGCTGGAGCTAGCTGTAATGAGAGTACTTCTGAAGAAGCAGCTTTCCAGGAGCTTGTGCAGCATAAGCTGTATTATTTCAAGAGTACTGAATTTAAACAGCACCTCTAAATTAGCTGCAGACAAGGTGTTTGATTTGGCATTTTGGTGTACTTCTAAATTCCTGTACCCGTTGTAAGAGTATTTCAGTGTATAGGAATGAGTGAGAAAAGTAGGGAAACAGCATATGTTTTCACCCAAAATTAGCACATTTGGATTAATTTTTTATTTCTAAACAGAAGTTTGGCAAACGTTTTCATTGCTTAGCTCTAAGTCCTGAACGTTTGCATTAGAGTTAATGCTCAAAAATGTTCACCACGTACCACCAGGTTTCCAATCACCATGACCAGCATGAAAACAATAAGGCACATGGTTTGGCCTGCAACCTCCATGCAGTCCCACATCGTTTCTATCCATTCTCCACACAGCACTCGGAATACAATCAGGAAAGAGTGGAAAAAGTCATGCATGTGCCAGCGTGGAAGTTCACAGTCACTGGAGATCTTGCAGACACATTCCTTGTAGCTTTTCCCAAAGAGCTGCATCCCAACCACAGCGAAAATGAACACGATGATGGCCAGCACCAGGGTCAGATTCCCTAGAGCCCCCACTGAGTTGCCAATAATCTTAATCAGCATATTTAAAGTTGGCCAAGATTTTGCCAACTTGAAAACTCGAAGCTGCAAAAAAAAAAAAAAAAATGCAGAGGAATCACTAGTGTTAGTTATGCAATAGAAGCTAGGTTCAAGTCTTTTAGCAGAGCATATCAATTTCTGTACATTAGTTTGTTCTTCAGTAGGAACAGATTATTATTTTAATGGAAAGCAGTGAAGTATTTGTCAAAAAAGCATTGTTCAACATTTCATTCCAGTGATGCACACGGTAAAAAAAAAAAAAAATCTAAATTTGTGTTTGTATGACATTTTATTTTAATATTTTTAAACATCCACTCACAGATGGTTGATGAACAATTCTTCAAGACATTTTAGAATTCTGTACTCTTTTCATCACCTTCACTACACCATTTTTGCTGGCTTGATTGCACATTTCCCTCAGCACCTCATTAAGCTTTTCATGTTTAGTTAGAGGACAATTTTTTTAAGCAAAAGTTGATGCTGATATTGTGATGTCCATTCAAATCATAAACACTAACCTAAAAGCAATATTTATAACCATGTTATGTGAAGCTGGTTACCATTGCAAGTAGTGCCAATAAACTAATTCACTGCTTTCCTATTCTATATATTAGGAGATAACCGAGGTGTTCAAGTCATGTGATAACTACTGGTAATAAGGACTTTCAAATCATGTATCTTGTGCCTCTATAAAACATCTATAAATTAGTTTGTATACAACACTAATTGCTATTAAAAATACATTTTTAGTAGAAACTCAGTAATATTTGCATGTAAATGTTACCATAATCAGCTTGTTATGACCTTTGTTATATGCAAGGGAGTTACTAAAAGTTTTTAGTTGGTGCCCACTGAAATAAATGTGTAGACACGATCTGCCTAGGGTCTTTACAAGTAACACAAATTAATGTTCACAATATAAAGACAAAAAATGTCATGATTCGTTATGTTGGTGACAATATGTATGTTTTTATAGATATTTAGCTCTAATGATTCTTAATGAAATCAGTGTAATGAAGATGTACCAAATTCTTAAAAGACAGCAGTTAGAGTGGCAAAGGATATCTGTAGGATAGAAGATCAATAGGATAATTTTGATACCAGAAGATATCGAAGGATATCAATTGACAAATGCCTTATCAAACATGGCTTGCAAATTAGACATATAGGAAAAATAATGAGAGATACTGAAGTATAAAAATATATTTACAAAATATTTTAATTATTACAGGCACCAACTTTTTTTTTTTTTTAATACTGAGTGAGACAATTGCATGCAAATATTCAATTGTCAAGGTATTTACCAATCTGAATGATCGAAGAACAGATAATCCTTCAACATTTGCAAGACCAAGCTCCATTAAACTAAGGCTAACGATAATACCATCAAAAATATTCCAGCCTTCTTGGAAATAATAGTAAGGGTCCATGGCAATTATCTTTAGTACCATTTCTGCTGTGAATATTCCAGTGAATACCTAAAACAAAATGGAATTAATTAATTGAGTTGTTAAGAGAAATTTATATACTTGAGTAAATTGTTTTAATCCAGTTCTCGTTCTCATACTGATTACTCTTTATAGTAATAAAGAACAGCTGATTGCTGTCTCCAAATGGCATCTAAGTATTTCTAAACATTGAAAACTAACTGCTAAATCAGGACATACATAGTAGCTGTGGACCAGTCAGCAGCTCAGCTCCAGCTCAGATTTGACTGTGTGTGCTGGACCATCCATGCAGCAAATGATGTGATGTGATCTGCTGTTCTCGGTCCCGTTTTAAGAGGATAGTCCCAGTAAAGTAAAAGAAGATTTGACAGCAATTTTTCTTCCTAGCTCGCAGTCTAAACAGAAGTGTTAAAAGATACTCTCTAATGTTAGACTCTCTAAGGACAGACTCTGTAAGGTCTGTCTTGTGGGACAGTGGAGGAGTTTGGGTGGAATAGACAGGGGAGGTTGGAGTTTCTTGTACTGGGCTTTTTATAAGCATATAGAGCTTTCACTCAAAACTACCATGCTATGTGACAGCTACTTCCTTTTGTGAAAAAGAACTTCAGGGTAATAATATTATTTGAAATATTTGTAAGTGCCAAATGTGAAATTATCAATGCTTCTTAGTGTTTTTAACTCCACACTTTCTCGCAATGAGTAGTGATCAGTGTTTCACGGAGCTAAAAAAAGACGTTTTGGAGCATGATGTAAAACCATAAAAACATATGAAAATTCTGTACAACAATCAAAAGCTATCCTATATCAAGTCTACTAACGTACACCAATGTAGTCTGCTATTGCCCTGTGAGAGTTCTTTACCCAGCCTGTTCTCTGTCCTACTACAAAGTTTTATGGTAGCAAAGCTAACTTTTTACAGCACTACATAACTACACTCATGATTACTTATTAATTTAAGAGGATTAGGAGGTGGATATGATGCTGCAGAAACATTCACCATTGTCCAAGTGTAAATATTAACATTTTTTAAAGTGTATACTTTTAACAAACTAGAGCTATAGCCAGAAATATTATACTATTAAATTGATTTATAAGAGATGTTGCTGTATAATCAGAAGAATGTAATAGGTGTATATGTGGTAAAAAGAACACAACAAAGAAAATTATTCTTGACAAAACTCTCATATTTGTCAAAATAATTGGAAAAAAAAGCCATGAAAAACATTTCAAGATATTTTCTATTCCACCCACAAACTACTTTTTCTTCAGCATAACCACATCCCTAAATACAGAAATACACTTTAAGAGAAGTAAACTCAAGTTTTCCATAAGAAATAGGAATTTGAATAATGAATGAATTTTAGTATTATGGAAAATGAATCATTGCGTTTTAGAATGTCTTCCTTCAGTCAAATTTTTCATATTTAATTTATCCTCAAACACACGTGATGTCACAAGCAAAGAGTAAATTAACATAATTTCAATGGAAAGCACAAAATTAAGGTTAATAGATTAGTACACCAAGGAACAGAGAATCTAATTGAAACCAGCAGGAATAGTATTCAGGGCACATATATAGTCCTAATTAAGGGTACCAAATTGTTATAAAGGTAAGTAAAAATACGACTGTTGCTAGCTTAGAGTAAAAAAAAAAATAAATAAAAAAATGAGATGGGAAAAAGCAGAAGACCTTGTAAACATAAATAATTGGAAATAAATAATTTTAACAATATGACAGATCAACATTTTAAAATGCAATATTCTGTAATCTGTCCTGAACATAAGAATAAGGTGCAATTAGATCTTTGTCCAGGAGAAAGGAAACTGTAATGCACACAAGAACGCATAGTAAGTTCAATTTTAGTTCTATTTTTAAAAAAATTCATAGAAGGATGTATTACCAGTACATATAAGGAAAATGTTTAGCCTTTAAAACCTTCTCTGACTGAGAAATCTATTAGTGTTCCAATTAAACATTAGCTGGCTTTTCAAAACTAATCTTTTTGAGTGATTAGTTCAGAACACTTGGTTGGTTTCGATTTTCAGGACTGCATGCTGTGTGAGTCAATCCAGACCTCCCCTATATAAACTATTGGTAGTTACATGAGCTGACAAAAAATTAAAAATGTATGAATCTGCCTCTGAAATAAACACTTGCAAGGTTCAGTCCTCTGCTTCCTCAGCACTGGAAGCAAATGGAGAGAAACAGATGTAAGTGTTATGCTGCATTCAGGTATCTGCTGAGAAAGGGAATTACATGTAACCCTCAATCTCTGGATCAGGTTAAAAATGGGAAAGGCATCACCAATAAACTCAGAGATTAAAGATGCTTTTTAAAAAAAGATTAAATAGTAATCTTCTCATTTATTAAGTATTTTCAGTTACCTAAGGTGGCAAGGACTTACTGGTAACAGGGAATATGCCTTTTTTTTGAAAAGTACTTTCACTGCAGTGTAACTGAAAAAAATTCTAAGAGAAGTTCTGACATCTGAATATTTCATCAATTTTGTACAGAAGAAAAATATTTTCTGTTATGGAATATCAGTACCATAATAAAAATTACATAATCTACCTTAACATTTTAAAGACAAAACCCATGGTAGACAACAAGAAATGTGGCATTCCAGTGAAGATTGCACTTCAATACATATTCAGTTATTTCATTATAGCAGTTACAAAATAGATTCCTGAAGGTTAAAGGCCAGCAAAAATTGCTTTAACTGTGAAAATCATATACATAATTTCTAAACTGACTATAAAAAACATCATAGATTAAACTGAAAACAAATGCAATGTATTTATACATTTCTTTATTTAGAAAAGGGTTTTTACACCAAGTAGTGCATGACAAACCACTTACCAGGTTCCCCACAGAAAGGACACTGCTAAACTGTTCTGTCATTGGGTAATGTTCCATGGCCATAAACAAGGTGTTTAAAACAATGCAAATAGTTATAGCAAGATCAACAAATGGATCCATCACAACTAAATTGACGACATGCTTTACTTTTAACCATGGACTCCAGCAATCCCAGATCAAGAAAGTGTTTGCAAATCTGTACCAGCATGGTGGACATTTCTGTCTGGATTCTTCAAGCTCTGAAAAAAAAATAGAAAGAAAAAGAATATTCCAACTATATCCTCTGGAAGTCCTTGTTTAAAATATGATTGTATCATTCAAATAAACAGCTCTCACTAACATGGGTTTTCTCTCACTTATGTTTAGCCATCTAAAAGTAAGGCACCTAATTTATTTAAGTTCCTCTACCAGCAGTGGACAGTGAAGTACATTCGCTAAAGGGTGAATCATCTCAGTGTCTGCCTAGAGAGAGAAATGTAATTGTCTTTCCCATGACAGTAGGGAGAATCTAGAGATTTAGTTTAGGTTACTTGACTTGCTTACAGCAGATATCTTACTCACTCATCAGAGAGCTGATGTGTATAATTAGTATAAACTTCATAAAAGATTAACATTTTTATGTTAAGTACATGAGGACATATTTTGATTTGAGATACCAGAAGTGTTATATTTGCTACTACACTGAACCACTACAATATCGGAGAAATGATTTGGTGTGCATACCTCTCATTTTTTATTTGAATCAATATTTTTAATATACTGAATGCCTGTTTTCTTATTTTAATATCATAATTTGATTTTGCTTGAAAATGTCTCATACAGTTACAGTGTCTATTGTCTAAGAAACAGAGCAACATTAGTATTAGCAGAAAAACTCTGTTGAGTAACTGTAGAACAACTGCTTTCAATTAGAATCTTTGCATTTCCATTTCACTGTCAATATTTTCTAAGTTAGAGAAGAATATTAACTACTGAGTTAATAATAGCAAGGAAAAATATCTAATATGACGGAATGTTTGAGGACAGCCCAGAAGGAAGATTGACGTTTGCCTAAGTGAGAAATACTTATACTAAAAATATGTAAGACATGGACACAAGTTTTGATAAAATTTGTACATAGTGGCATTAACCCAATTCTGAAATATCCCATTTTTCAGGCATTCCTTAGAGCACAGAGAGATCTCTATCATCATGACACTTATGAGTGATTTTTCTGAAATAGCAAGCGTGCTGTTTTACAGATTTCCTAATAAGGATTTAGTGCAAAAATTTACACTTTGAGGACCACTAGATTGAATTTTTGCCTCTAATACTGTCAAATATGGGTGGAATTGCTGGAATTTCAAAGGTCAGCTGCCAGCTTTCAAACTGATAGAAACAAGTTCTCCTTATAAAAATACTTACATGGCATATGTGTGAAAAGTGAACATACTTAGTTTCCATTAAATAATAAAAAAAATCCCAACACTGTATGCTTCTTAATATAGCAAGTATAATATTTTTTTTATCTTTGATAGCTAAGAAAGTTTAAGAAATGCTTAAGAAAGACATTTTGTGTGCCTTGGCACGAGTTGATTACAGCTGTATTTTTTTTTATTTAAAACTATATTTCTCATTCCAATTTCCTATTGCCTACTCTTGGATTTAAGTTTTAACGGAAATGACTCTTTTAGTACATCACTACCTCTATCGTGGCAATTCCTGTCTACCTTAACTGATTTTTCCTGCTGATGTCTAATGGGAAGAAAATCCCTACATACTCTGTTTGAGGCTGTAGCAATGCCCTAGCTATGGTTATTTTATCTCTGTTAGTCCACTCAGTAGAGTGGTATTTTGGAAGGTGTCATGAAAAATAAATGGCTAAGCATTGAGAATGCGTAAATTATCTTGGAAATGCTTGAAAGCCTTTTTATATCTGATGTACAGAGATTTCACATGTCCAGTTTTACATTTACAAAGGAAATTATGTAAATAATTTCTCTGTACATATAGTTAGCAGAAATTCACTGAAATGCCCATCAGATAAAATGCATCAAGTACCTTCCATTGTATTTGTAAGAATGCTGGCTATGCTCATTGCTCTTTGTCTTGCAGCAGACTCTTCCAGCATTTCCATGGAAATCTGGTAAGAACTCAGTCTTCTTTTCCTTATTTCTGTTTCTGTAGTGGTACCCTGTAAATGAAATACTGAGGAATTAGACCATCCTTTTCAATGGCCAATTATCAATTGTATTGAAAATCAAAATCAGCTTTGTGCAACATACTAAGATTTTCTTACACAGTGAAGGTTTCTGTTCTTGTAGGGATTTCTTTCTTCTTCATTGAGGAACTCAGTACTTTGTACATTGCTATAAATAATCAGCTAGAAGACCCAATATCAATGCAGTGTGGGACCAGAGGTAGTTGTCATTTAAATGACTGGTTGAACAAAATTTTTGCTAGGTATATTATTGTTGTTGTTGTTGTTGTTGTTGTTGTTGTTGTTGTTGTTATTTCAAGAAAAAATGCTTAAAATTGAAAGCTGACACCCTCATTTCCATCAGCTACTCATGTTAAATAATGAAAGTGTGAGTACAGAGAAAAGTGAACTTTTACTTAAGAAAGTTAATTTGATACAAGAAACATTAATATAATTTTAAGGAATTAAGTGCATCTACAATACTCTTTAATGTATTCCTAACCTGATAAGTGTGTTTGGAAAATTTTATATGTGAAAAACCCCTCATCTTATTTAATATTTCTTCTATCTAATTCTCACCCACCACAATGCTCATACAGAGTTTGGGATAAATTCTTGCAATGAATTTACAAGTCCCCTTTGTTTTGCATGACTTCTAATTAACTTTTCAAAGCAAGAATACTCAACTCTGATTTAAATGTGACTAACATGTCTCTTCTCTGTATCAAGTAGACATCCTTTCAGCTGCTTTGCTTTTCTTCTGGACTGTGACCTAGGCATCTAAGCACAGGAGTGGGACTAAAAAGCTCCTAAATCTGGGTTCCTGCTTTACCACTGATTCTGTGATTCAGGGAAATCATCACTCTTTTTCACATTATTCTGTCCCCATTCCTGAAAAGGACAAAAAAACTTGCAGAATTCGTAAGGGATTTCAAAGTTATCTTAGTGTGAAGGTGAAAAATCATATTTGAACAATTACTAGTACTACTTCTTTAGAGAAGACTCTTGAGTTGAATGGCTGATTTCAAGTGAACCTACTTCTGAAACAGAACTATATATGCATAATCTCTGAGGTAATCTGATGGAATTTCTGGTATGGAGGTCTATATCAAGACAGGAGAAAAAATAAATGTGTAACAGAAGTACTGAAAACTCAATACTTATATTTGTAATGCAAATATTTTGCAGCTTAGATAACAAGCTATTATAGACATCAAAATACCATACTGAATCCATAGTAAAATACTATATATGAAAAGGCTTGCCTTTTTGAAAGTTTGAAAGAACATGTTAGCTTACAGAAGTCTGAAACTAAGACTGCAATGTAATGTACATAGGAATTTATGTATTTTTTCACATGAAAGTTATGAGAAAAAATTCCTCAAGATAAACCCAGTAAGGGGTGTGTATATTAACTATCATGACAGTAGTAACCACATTCTGCTTAATTTTACAGATGTTTTCCTGTACATATTTCCAAGCCATAGCCTTAGTTATATATAGAATCTCTACCTTTGTTGAAGTGAAACTTTATACAAATTGTCAAATTCTTTTCTTTTTCCTTTCTATGTGCAGATCTCTTGCTGAAAGCAAGGAGAATATACTACTTTACTGAGGCTCAGACATAGCAGGTTGAGGACTTGTTTTCCTTTATGTTCTATTATTTAGAAATTATTGCAAATTATTTCTCATTGCTCTAAGAAATTATAAGGAATGCAGAGATAAGGAGTAAAACAAAATTCTGTGCCTGAACAAAACTGTTATAATTACTGGTTTACTTATAATTACCTCTGGTAGGAGCTGACCAGTGGGTGAAGTTAAAGCTGAAGGTCCTCCAACCAAGGAAACTACTCCATTGCAATCCACAGTGCTGTGCATCTTCCCATTTACTGGAAGGGCTGGTATCATTCTAGATGACACACTTGCCTGACTGATATTACTGTTGCGCCGTTCTCCATGTCGATTTGGAACGAAGAGAGAATCTCTTCTGCTCTCATTGTCTTCAAGAGTGCTGTGCTCATCATCAGCAAAGTCATTTTCTGATCCTATATCCTTTGCATGACCTCTGAAACTGAAAATGCTTGTTTTGCTGTTGCGCCTTGGTGAGAACAGAGAACCACGAATGCTTAACAAAGACTGTAAAAGATTTAAAACAAACCAAACAAAACAGCATTAGAACTGAAGTTTTAAGTTCTTGGCCTTTCAAAGAATAGTTATAGTGCTAGAGGAAGGATAGTCAGGGGTTTTTTTCCCATAGTATAAGTGTGTCTATTAGGTGAGTGTGCTCATCAGGGGACTCAAAATAGAGGGGCATTTACCCTAATATCGTAGGACTGAGAAAAGGTTGTGCAGAAGACATAAGTAAGGTTTACCAGTTTTGAGTGAAGAAGGTGCACTGAGCTGGTTATGGACCCATGACTGTGCTGGAGACAGTTTTCAACATCACTATCAAGTATTTGCAGGTATTTGTCTGTTACCCCCTGGGTTTCCAGGGATAACAATTAATAATGCTCACCCACCACTGAAGTGATCTTCAGTTTGGCATTAAATTTAGTCTAAGTTGATGTAAAGAACTTGACTGACCTCTTCACAATAGGCTCAATAGTGTAGGAACAGCAGCTAGAAGACAGAGGTGACAGCTCGGGGAAGCTCTGGAGGGACAGTAATAGCACTGCCATCATAGCTCTCTGGGGACTATAGCAGGCTGCACACCTGCCAGAAGGTACCACTTGGCCTTCAGAAGCTCAAAGCAAGTATTCACCAGGGACACAGCTACCTAAAGATATTCTCTTACAAGTGAGAAAAATAAATCAGGGGTTGTTGATAATTCATCTTTTAATTACAGTAGAAGCTGGTTAATAGAGTGTTCTTCTCCCTTACTACATATTTTATTAACAGCCTTCATGAATAAATAAAATGAGTACTAACTGGAGAAAAGAAACCTTGCATTCAGCTTTCTTCAATTCTGCATTTGTACAAATTTTCCCATCTTGGTACATCAGAAACCTAGTTTGAGATGAGTCTCAATTTTTCACTAGTTTTGCAGGTGGAAAATGCTCATACGTAACAGCAGTGGGTTTTTTCTCAGGATAATTAAAGTGAAAGTGAAAATGGCCCTGTAGTGTATAAACCTATGTTAATACAGTGAAAACCAAACACTCAATATATAGGTATATCAATGCATATGTATCTCTGTATATGCACAGTCAGATGTATAAATTCACACACAGAATATGTGTGCTGAACTGGTAGCACTGCCTGTTATAAGGGCTGACATTATGAGATGTATTTTTTTCTGCTCTTACAGCTACACCAAATTTTAATTTTTTGGGATGAAATTTTCTATGCTGGCTGTCAGCCCCAGGCTGAGTTACTTGAAGAATATCAACCAAATGGTTTTGCTAACCCATTTACGTAAACTTGGCTGGAGAAAAAGTGTTATTTTGCTTATACTGAAAGATAATTTTGTCAAAAAAAAAAAAAAAAGCTCTAGCTTTCACGGAGTATGACACTGAATTCTGACAAAGCAGTGAATTAATTACTACACCCTTTTTACATTTCTTTGTAAATGTATCTGGCCAACCTTCAGTCCTTCCAAAAAATCATGTGCTCACTAGGGTTTTGTATGACTACCAGTGATACCCTTATTCTTTCAGAGAATGTTCCCATGGCTGCTATGTTTTATTTGCAGGCCAATCTTTCCAGTATGCGTTACCATGTTCTGAGCACAGCTAATTGCATCAGCCCCCTCGGGGATTTGGGAGGAGTGATGCCCGCTCTGCAAGTCCCTGCTGCACTGAGACAAAAGATATAAGCTGAAACGGCTACAATTTTAACACATGGAGAGGCAAAAATATATTTGTCTACATGCTCTTGGAAAGTAAGGTCTGAAAGGAAGGCTTGACTTTCCTGGCAGGCTGCGTCATTCATCTGGACATGCAATATTGTATCAAAGGACAAAACCTCTCACAGGGGCCAACTGAGCAGATAGATTATCTCCCCTTACCATTCTGCCTCACAGTTTTATGCTCTGGACCTTGTCTCACCAGTGAGATACTGTATGGCTAACAAGACAAATGAGCTCTTCCTTTACTAATTTCTACTGTTTGCAACTCTTTCATTCTTGCGGCACCTCAGTTTTAGTTATATGCTGGCAGCTTTTGCCCCCAAGCATTTTTACAACTGCAAAAACAATTATCAGGAGAGTTTTTAATTAATAAATTATCCTCAACATGGGTGATACAGGTGGGTCAATGTCATCTACTGGCTCAGACCATACATTATCATTTTGAAGAGACGCATTTTGAGTGACTTTTTCTACAAATGCCATAACTGTGTGCAGCGTTGGAATAAGCTAAGGTATCTCAGAATCTCAAAATCATTTGGGTTGGAAAAGACCTCCAAGATCATCAAGTCCAACCTTTGACTTATCACCACCTTGTCAACTAGACCATGGCACTAAGTGCCACGTCCAGTCTTTTCTTGAACACCTCAAGAGATGGTGACTCCACCATCTCCCTGGGCAGTCCATTCCAATATTTAACAATCCTTTTTGTAAAGAAATTCCTCCTGATGTCCCACCTGAATCTGCCCTGGCACAGCTTGAAGCTATGTCCTCTTGCCCTGTTGCTTGTTGCCTAGGAGAAGAGGCTGACCCCCATCTGGCTACAGCTGCCTTTCAGGGAGTTGTAGAGAGTGATAAGGTCTCCTCTGAGCCTCCTTTTCTCCAGGGTAAACAACCCCAGCTGCCTCAGCCACTCTCCATATGATTCACTCTAGACCTTTGCCAGCTCCGTTGCCTTTCTCCGGACACACTCCAGCACCTCCATGTCTGTCTTAAAGAGAGAGGCCCAGAACAGGACACAGGATTCAAGGTGCAGCCTCACCAATGCCAGGTACAGAGGAAGTATCATTAGGTGACAGAAGATATCCTTTGATTTATAGGTGTAGAGCTTTGAAGTTTGGACTAATTGATTTCCAGAGGTCCTCCATAAACTACTTTTTTTCTACGATTGCAATGATTCTCCATAATGTATAATGAATTTCTAATGAAAAAGAATGGTTTGACTAAATTCTTACTCTTATCCTTATGTAGTTTGTCTTTATTGTGGAGTACCAGCGCTGCTTCTCTCATTATCTATCTGTTAAAGAAGCTAATTAAAGAAAATAATAGAAACCATTGGTTATGTGGGATTTCCTATGCAGGGTATTTTGATGTTGCAGTCTGCTAAAAAGCCCACATATCTATACAATTTTGAAAAGGATCCAGAACAGAGAACCTATAGTTGATTAATGCAAATATATGAATACTAATCAAAGAGTCTTTGATACTTTCTCCAGTCTGCTAGATACATCCTTAGAAATACATTTTCTGTGTTACTTAAGTTTGCAGTTGTTGTTGGTACATTCTTTTTATCCCTTTGCGAATAGAAAGGGTCAAACCATCTCAAACTGTAACACTGTGAATCGTACTGCCACTGTTTTTTTTCCTTCACTCACCAGTTACATAACTTTCAACATATAAAGCTGCTGTAAAGTCAGTGAAAATGAAAGTAGCAAAAGAGAGTGCTGTACCTGGTGAGGAGATGTGAGCCTTTTTTCATATGTCAGTTGACTTCCTTCTGTGGAGAAGCGGAAACTTTTTCTTCTGATACTGTCTTCTGACTCAGACTTGGGAAATTTATCAATATCTCCTTTGTCCTCTGCTTCAGACATTTCTCTTTGTCTTCTTTTCTTCCTTCTGTTTCTTCTTTCTTTAGCACTCTTTGAGCTCAACTTTGATGCTTCTGAAGAGCTTTCCAAGAGTTCTCCTAATCCCCCTACACCACTGAAATCTCTTGATGCAACTGATGCTGCTGCTACTGCTGCTGTTGTCTGTCAGGTTACAAAGTAAGGTATTAGTAGGCCAAAATAATAATAATTAAAAAAATTATAGTCTTTTATCAACTTTTTTAATTATCATGGTGATAATGTAATTTGTTCACTCTTGAAAATGTAAATATCCAAATCCAAGCAAACTTAACTGAAGATAAAATACTGTTATAAAGTTCCTCATTGTTAGTGGCACAAGCTACTTGAAGCACTGACTTCAGCAGAACAATAGCCACGCTATTCATTAAAGAACTGTTGACATTGGTCTAAAATAAAGGTAGCCAGAAAAGTATAAACACAGTGCTTTTTCGTATATTTCAGACCTGCTATTCCATTTGGTCTTGAGAAAAGCCCCATAACATGCTCTAGCTCAGTTGATGTTAAATGATGTTAAATGCCTAGCATTCACTACATCAGTTACTGTATCATAATCCAACTACAGCCTGCAAGTAGTTGAATCCAGCCTTTCTTCACTGTCCTTGTAGCAAGGACACTCCCCTTACTTTCCCTCTACCTGCACTGGGAACAACCACACTCTCTAGACACCTCTTCAAGCCCTGCCTTCCTCTTCCTCCCACATTTCCCATGGTATCAGCACTCTATGTCTTTGTTATAGATATGGAAAGGTACATTTATTGCCTGTTGGTGCTGTAGCCAGAGAGAAGAAAACATTTAGATTTTTTTCTCTGATGGAAAGGAGTAAGATTATTTACTGGAGCACAGAGTCATCCCAAAACTCAGGACCAGTATCTTTAGCTACCATCTGGTTTGCTTCAGTAGGGAAACAGGTTCATTTAGTCATCAAAAAGGGAAGAATTGAGAGTATATCCAGTGCTGTTCCTAGAAAGGACTGTGAGAGATTCTATGAAATCCTGCAGTGGAAAATATGTTTGGGAAGGTAACAGGCTGCTGTGAGCTTACAAAAAATGGTGGTTTGATAAATGGCAAAAGACTAGGGTTATATAACAAAGATAACTAGTAATTCTCCAGCAAAACTTATTATATTCAATGCCAAGTATTTCAGGAATGATGACATACCTCTCTACAGTGGGAAAGGTTAGTTTGAAAGCCCACAGTATGAATTAATGTCTTTCTTTGCCACAATATACAGCCCATGCTATACAAGTTGACTTGATACAGACTTTTTCTGCTAAAATGGAGCATTGAAAGGATTCTGAAGTCTTTATAAATTAAAAAAGTGATACTCCAAATTTTGTCACGCTGGTTTACACAATATCATCCTTCAAAGACTCTAACAGAAACAAAGGCAGCAGATGCTGAGTCATCACCCATCTACTTCATAATAGTAACAGCAAAGGTCAAACAGAGACCACTGTGATGGCTTAATTTTTGTGGATGAATAGGTTCAGTGTCAAGAGGGTAAAGAGATGGGTCCCAAACTCACTTTTCATTCAACAGCTCAGTGATCCACCTTGTAATGGCTACTTTCTGATAATATTTTCATAAACAAAAAGAATCTGACTGTAATAATGCTTTAATTACAGTGAATTTTGTGGTCATTCATTTTAAAAATGACTTTCCAGAGTCTTTATCCAACCTGCCTTATAGTCTCTGTTTCATATTCTGTTCTTCCCAATGCTGGATCAGTTTCATCTGTCCCAACTCTCAAATATGCAAGCATCTAGATAAGCCTCCTGATATCTTTTGATATAATGTGATTTAGTGCCTTTAATGGATCAAAATAACAGATTTAAGAAAAACCCAACAACATACTCTTTGCTGACATTTAACATTTTAAAATTTAAATTTTACAGATTCTGCTTTTTCTTTAGTGATTTGAAAGTGATAAGGTTTAATGACCAAATAAAGATAGGCTAATTAGATTTCACAGGTCATACATAAAGATTTCTTTTCAAGAAAAAGATTAAGAATTTCTCTTTTTATTTGCACTTTATGGAGTCATTCGAACTTAGCGAAAGTAGGTGTAAAATAGTACCAAAAATAATTTGTTTGCATTTTATAAACACTGTCCTGTTGAAAATTACTAAACGCCATTTGAAAAGCAATGGAAAGTCAGTCCAGAAATTAGACAGGTGGCTGACTCACAGAGCTGAACTCCTGCATACATTTACTTTTGGATAAGAAAGCCTTTCTCAAAAGTATCTATTAAAATGTCTTTTTCTCATAAAACTTTAAATAATTTTCCTCCCTTTTCAAAGAAAACAAAGATTACTTTACAAGAATTCTGAAGTAATACCTCTGTTAATAATATTGCTTGTCTGGTTATGAACATTGCTTGTCTGTTCTAAGGATATATAAACTTCTGATTTACTTCAGTGTCAGTTAAGGACATGTTTCAGTGCCTTCCTCGATAGAAACCTAAAAGAACACTGATTACAATCCTTCTCTCTAGTTGATGAATATTTGTAAAGAACTACTAAGTACAGCCTCACAATTCTCACTCAGATATAAAACAGAAGTACCATCACTAGACTTTTTTCATGCTGTTCATAAGATCTGTAAAATAAAAGCATCATGAATTATCACTACTTACAGTCAGGTTTCTAGAAGGCTCTTCTCTGCACCATTAGCTTGCTTCTTTTTTTGCTATTTGCTTAGTTCCTGTTTTAATTTGGCTATTTCCACTTTTATAGAGTAAAAATTTCCACTTGCATGGTAAAGAAGACCTGTCTTTTTTTCTGTAATTCATTGCACAATTCATACATGTTCTAATTCATAAAACACTTTTATCCTTCCCTTAAGAACAAGGCAGTTCAGCAAGTACAATTTCCATCACTACCTGAGCTTCTTCTTGTTGCTTCTTCAGTTGCTCCAGCATCTGCTGAAATTCTGCCTCTTTCTGCTCTGCTTCTTCCATGGTTGCCTGATTCTGTTCTTCATAGGCCATGGCAACCACAGCCAGGATCAAGTTGATCAGATAGAAAGAGCCCAAAAAAATCACCAGAACAAAAAATATCATGTATGTCTTCCCAGCAGCACGCAGGGTCTAGGAAGTGGAAAGCATATGTTATTCAACCCCTTATATCTTTGTTACTGCAACAGCAATATGCTTTCAGCTCACATAAAAATAAGACTATTTATATAATTTTGGATGTCACCAACAGTTTACTTGTTACGTCATAACAATTTCTTACCAGCTGATACAGGTTTTCCCAGAAGTCCTGAGTCATTAGCCGAAACAATGACAAAAAAGCCCAACTGAAGGTGTCAAAACTTGTGTAACCATAATTGGGGTTTCTACCAGCTTTCACACATATATACCCTTCTGGGCATTGCCTACATGAAAACCAAACAGGAGGTACTTAGTCATCACTTTTATTCCCCTCTAGAACATATTTATTATCTTCTGGGACAATATGCATTTATTTTTCCACAGGAAATCCGTAAATTACAATTAAATTCATTCAGAAGAAAAAGTCTTAGGAAACTACATAATAAGAGAGTAAATGAAAGATATCCTTTCCATCCATTCACTGGTTGAAATGATCCAAATATTAAACTTCTCCTCAGTCACATTTTGCAAATAGAATCTTTATTCCAAATGAATAATTTCCGAGTAGAAATTACTGCTAATAGGTTGTTAAGGTTACAAGCAGATTAAACAATACTATTAGCTAAATACAACTGTAGTATTAGGGATCTCCCTGTCTGATATATATATATGCTGATATATACATTTTTAGTAAGCCTCTTTGCTGTTGCCAGTCAGATATCCAAATTCAGCTAACAATTCTAGGCTCCTAAGTGGGCACATGTGAATGATAGAATTTGCCAGTAATGGAAGATTTCAGCTTGAAGAAAAAGATTCAGTCTTTAACTGTGAAGTCACTGTTATGCTTTCTTAATACATTGCAGGCTCTTTCCCAGTTCTAACTTATGCTTTCCTCCTACTTTTTTGAATCAGAAAATCACCAAAATAGACTTTACGAGAGTTCAAATTTTATCATTAGCACCATTAACATCATTTTCCAATTAAGTAGGAAAAAACGTTGTTAACTGGTATTTTGTTTTAGACAGAGAGTAAAATATTTTGACTTAAGTAAGAAATTCTTGCTTAACAGCAAAACTCCGTAAGTTCTATAACCCTGCTAAATATGGAGATGCAAGTAGGTTTTGTGTTATTGTTTTTTCTACAGAGGATAACAGAGAATTTTTGAAAGGGTCTTACCCTGCATCAGAGCTATTACCACAAAGTAGGGCATCTCTTTGTCCTTCCAAAATGTAAAAATGAGCTGTGTAGAAAGAATTAGAAATGTATATGAATAAATCAAATAAATCTGGAAATGCTAAAAAGTAAAATAAAAATAAACAGTGTTAAAGTGGCTAGCTGCTGATTACTTCATAGCTTGTTTAGGAACCTCTCTGGTTATTGCACTTTTTTATTGTATGTATTTCATCTCTGTCAATGACTGTAAGCAGTTCTAAATAAGTCAGAAATATAAACTACACAATGTACTTTGTTTGATCACAAATAGTTACACATTTTAGCCACAAATGTATTTAAAAGTTTCTTACTTTCATCCTCAATGTAATCCTTCCAGTTAAATGTGCTCACTGTCATATTAACAAATGTACCATTTTCATTCATTGTGCTGTTAAAGTAGGAAATAATGCTTATTTCAAAAGTAGAATTGTCTGGAGGCCACTGCAGGCATTTATTCCTCAAGTTGCCCATGAACAGCTGCAGCCCTATCAGTGCAAATACACTCAGACAAAACACAGTCAGGATCATCACATCTGAGAGCTTCTTCACAGATTGAATTAGGGCTCCCACAATAGTCTTCAGGCCTGCAAAGAAAAAAAGTCCATAGAATTATCAAAGAGTATCTTTGCCCTTCCCATATAATTAAGATGTCATGCAGACACTTAAATTTTTTATTTTTCAAAAAGTAAAGCTTCATGAGCAGCCTCAGAGCTTGTGAAGATGAATGAAAGAAAAAGATTACTTTTTATGAATAGGCAACATACATATATTCCAATAAAACAAATATATAATGTTATTGTCAAGCAGGAAATTTTATCAATCATGCTTTCCTATTATAGATTTGATTCCATTTCTTAATTTTTCTCTGCATTTAATATTCTGCCAATAATTCAATTTCTAGTTAATATTAAACATTACTTCACAACAGTATGAAGACAGCATGAGATAGAATTGCAAGTAACTTTGAGGAAAAAAATAATTTGCATTTGATAAATTTTCCTGTGCATTATTTATTTCCTTTTTGGTAGCTTTTTTGTTGTTACTTCATTTTCTGTAAGACTAATGACAATTTTAAGTGGCAAAATAAAGGAAAAAATTCAAACCCAAGAAAGCCAGAGCACTAAAGCTTTTGTAATGTAGAGGCAAGTTTTTGTAATAAAATGCAGAAAAACAAAGCAAAATAACCCTTAGGCCTCATATATTTTATGTTTCATGCAAGCATCTGTTAAACTCAAAGGCTGATTTTGCAAAATAAAAGAAGCTAATGCTGAAAAGGCAAAGAGTCATAATCTAGGTTTATGATCCATGCCTTTTTTTTTTTTTTCTTTTTCTTTGGCAACATGAGCAGCAAACAGCAAGACTTATGCTCAAAGGAAGTGAATTCGACTTCAATGGAACGAAAGTCAGCCTCGGTGTTTAACCTCGCTCTCACCTGGAATGACTGATATTGTTTTCAAAGCTCGGAGAACTCTGAATGTTCTCAACGCTGAGACATTGCCCAGGTCCACAAACTCTGTCACATATCTGTAATAGGGGAGTTCACACACAAACACAATGACAGCACACAAATAACAGTTGGAGATACGAGGGGCCTAACACCTCACACCAACTTCTTCTTACCTGGAATTACAGAAATAGTTTTCAAAGCTCTCAATACTCTGAAAGTTCGAAGAGCTGAAACATTGCCTAGGTTTACAAATTCTGTTACATACCTGTAGGATTAAATCACAGTTATTCAGAATTGAGGCAGAACTTATACTAATTATGTGGGTCTTCAAAACCTCTGTGGCAATACTAGCAATTATACTTCAAAATTTACCTGTCTCTTCAGTACATCTCACTTTAATAATTATTTCCCTCAATTTTTCTTAAATGTCATTGAAGTGAAACTCACTGATTTGTAGTGGAACAGCTAATTAAACTAACTAGCTTGTTATGGGTTGGTGACATGAAGTCAAAGGGATGGCTTCATTTATGGTGAGCAGAAAAATGCAGGACATGAAATTAGCGTCCCTCAGCAGTAATTACACTAGTGGTTGACACTCCGTGTCGGCTCCTGCTGCATTTTACTTTGATTTGTGCGTACTAAAATGTGTGATACAATGACTAAACTTCACAGGTTTCAGAAATTAAATATGTTTAAATATAAACATTTATTAGGATAATATTTACCACTAATTTCATGCCCTAAAAGCTTAAAAAGTTCTTGAATCACTTACGCCATTAAAATGACACTGAAGTCAAGCCAGTTCCATGGGTCTCGCAGAAAAGTAAAACCTTCTAAGCAGAAGCCCCTTGCAAGAATTTTGATAAGTGATTCAAAGGTATAAATTCCAGTGAAAGTGTACCTGAAAATCATCAGAGCAGGAATAACGGATTTTGCATATTATAGACAGTTCCATTCTTTAGCAAAGATGACTTACAAGAAAAGAAAAGTATTTAAACGTGAAAGGAGTAAATCATTAACTTCACTTGCCCTAAACACTGTAGTCAAAATTCAATAGTTGAATTTTGAACCTGATATATATACTACTCATTTTCTGAAAGGTTGTTTTAATCTCAGTTCACGTGCTTGAAAATAATTTCAGACTCTAGTGTTTATAGATACATTTCAGACTTCGATATTTATATGTACATTCTCTGGCACTCACAGGGTTGCCTCTTTGCTTGCATTCATAAATCAGGTAGATATCTAAGGGCTACAAAAAATGAAGGATTTTTTTAGGGTGTCAAAATCAGAGAGTTTTGTGAAAATGAGTTCTGGATAATAACTATACTCATGTCTATATTACATGTTTATTTCATAAATAATCATTTAATATAAGAAAGCATGCTCAGACTGTTATTCTTGAATATGTGGAGCATGATTACCAGTTTACCTGTGTGGGAACAACCATTCATTTAACAACATAGAATAGTCAGCTATAACCAGCATAATGCAGGCACTTCCTGAGAGCCACATGGATCTGTGTGGACTTTCAGAATAAGGCAACTCTACCTACAGACCCTACTGTTCTCTTTTCAGACTCTCAGCAACTCTTAGCAAGCCACAGTCACTGCTGAGAATACTGGGAATGGGTTAATAGTAGTGGTTTCTAAACTCTAAAGCATTCAGAGTAAGGCTCATTAATGCAGTGAAATAAATAAATAAAAATCAATAATGGCAATTTGAGAACAGGAGGGAATGAAAGAAACAAGTGGTTAGAACCAGGTTTTTAATGAGTAGTATTATTTCAAATAAAAACATAAAGGGTTTTGAGCAACCTGGCCTTGTGGAAGGTGTCCCTGCCCACCGCAGGGGGTTGGAACTGGATAATCTTTAAGGTTCCTTCCAACCAAAACCCTTCTATGATTCTATGATTCTACAATATTTCAGAGGAAAACAACTATCTGTATTTTGCTAGAGAACAAACATGCATTTATAACCATGAACAGGAAAAAGAAAGAGACACTTTGTTGTTTCCTTACTTCCATCAGCTCTTTGTTACTCTCTCATAGGTAAGGCCCTTTCCTCATCCATTTGAGTTTGCTGTGTTTGGGGGTTGTGTGTGCTTGCTGTAGCAGGCACTTAGGAGTTCACATCAGTGAGCCACAATAAATGTCCCACTGTGATAAGATCATGGATACTCAAGCAATATATAGCTGGCCTCACCAATGGCATGCAACAATTTTACATGCACATTTCTAGTTCTGGAGCTCCTTTTCCGATTTACAGCTCAGAATATCCAAGGACAAGAGCTTCTGTTAGTATTTCACAGCAGAAGTTCAGATATTCCTCAGATATAAATTTAAAGAAAAAGGTGTTACACTTAAAGGATATTAGTTATTCAGGAGGAAACCAGAAAGTTATTGATGGTCTCATGGAATCTGATTCTTCATGACTCTGGACAAGCCCATTCTGGCATGCAGCTTTTTCACAAATGCTTCTTGTTTAGAGTCACACAAAAACAAAGATGAAAAAAAGAAAAAAAAAAAAAGAAGTAAAAATGTTTAACTTACTCTACATTCTTTGTCCAGTCTGGAGGGTTACTCATGGTCATAAATACACAATTGGTCAAAATAGTGCACATGATAAGCATGCTGAATAATGTAGGTTATAGTCAAGGCACGTAAGTCAAAAAAGCATAACAATTTTATAACACTGATATAAAGTAAAACTATTAGGTGTACAGAAATGTATACAAATAACATGACATCATAATTAATGTCTGAAAATAGAGCTTTGCACATAATTTTATCTATTTTAAATGGTATGCCATCCGTCATGTTATGGTGCACTTCTGCAAAAAATGCATTACTTTTGTAATTATTGCAGGTTTGGGTTTTAAATGAAACCTAAACACATCCTTAAGTCCGTAAAATAGGATATGAGTACCCAAATATAAGTATTCATTGAAGACAGGGGTATCATTCTAAAAGATCTTTAGTCAGAGGTTCGTTTTGAAAATATTGTCCTTTATCCTGAGTTTTTTATAGGACACCTACCCCAATGCTGAAAACACAATGCTGAGAAAACAGCTCTTTTGTCCTTGCTAAGTGAGTCTAGTTCATGAACAGTACTACTGGTCTTGGTAAAAGTGTGACCTTAGATATGTTCAAGTGCAATGGTTTGTTACTAATTCGGTCTTAGCTGCAGGGCTTAGTATGGGATCAGGTCTCCTTTTAGATATAAAGCCTGATATTTAAACTCTGACAGCTTTAGGTGGTTCAGTAGAGAATTCTCTTGGTGAGAATGAAGATCATGCTGTAATTCATGTGTAATATTGCTCCTTTTTTAAGTGTGAACAGCTTATATTTATTTAGCATAGTACACCTCCATGGACACAATTTGTATATCCACATGAAAAGCATTCTTTCAGTCATTAAATAGTTTTAAATGGCAAATCTTAAATCAACATTAGAAAAAAGGATATGAATGTACCAAAATCTTGATAGCAATTTTTCTGATGGGATTAAAAGGAGTTAAAATATACAAGGCAGATGTGGCGCTGAATCGGAAAATTGCTTTTCCCTTATTCAATACTATGAAAGTCTGCAAAAAAGAAATACAAAATTAAAATACAGTCTTGACTACATAAATATCTTTACCTCCTAGTAAAAGTTCTCATTCTCCATCTGAGAGGTACAAGTTCCATTCCACTGCCTACCTGTGGTAGGAAAATAACTGATTTCTATAAATACAGTTAGTTAGGCCTTCCACAGACAATTCTCCAATTTGCAAAACTTCCCAGCATGCAAACTGAATTCTGATGATATTAAAAGTCGTGGGAATTATAAAAAACAATGACAGTTAATCAATAATAGCAAAATGCAGCATTTTATCACTAAAATATTTCAGCTTTATTTCTAATGAAGTCTTTGATTAGAGTGAGTGTCAAATTAATCAAATACATTCTACCTTGTGAGCAAACACAAACAAAACCAAAATATCAATAGGACAATTCTAAATGCCAGTTTGTATTTGGAACAAATCCTTGACAGAATTATATACACATATATTTGGCAACAAGGAGAAATACCTGTTACTACACAATCAACTATAACTTTAAAATAATCTTGTTTTCATTTTATATTTTAAATACTACTAATATCAATTAAACTTATATTCTAAAAATATATCTGTGAAAAAATAAAAAGGATTAATAAATTACCAGCTGGTGTAGCTCTGAGCAGTCTGAGACAAACATACACCAGAATTTGGCATCCTATGACAACAAACCGTTTTTAAAAAAATTGCTGGGTTTGATTCTAACAATATGCTCTTGTTTCCCCTATATGTGAGCAGCAAATGTATCTAGTTATTATCTTTTAAAATTTGACCTGATAAAGCTGTGGTTTGTGTTAATTTTATTCTGTTCCTGTTGGCAGTCGTTGCCTAAATGTATTTGTGCGTGAATGAGGTTTACTTGCATCTCTGGTGCTGCTTGAAATTTCTTCAGGACATAACTATTCTTCATTCCTTTTGCTCTTTGTCGATGGTAATGGCTCTGCTTTGTGTTAACATAATAGAGTCTTTGTTACACTCTCAGCAGAGCTATACAGTATCACTGTTCTCCATGTTGATTTCTGTTCTATGTAAAAAGTTGTCTGTGAAGAGAAAAATGCTGCCCTTTCCACGGCCTTTACTGCCTATCTGGTCTGTCATCTCTGGCAGGGAAAGCAAACCTCTCCATTGTGGAAAATAAAATAGTTAGAGTGTTGCTGGTGCCTGTTCACAGAATAACATCAAGGAAATGCTGAGGGTGGCAGAGAATGGACGCACACTCATTGCCATTTCCCTCTGCCCTAGAAAGATGTTGCCTGTCCCAAGGTCACTGCTGCAGCAGGGCCTGAAGACAGACTACAATTCACGTATGATTTTCTCTGCACTTACAAGTCAGTGATTAAGAGAAGTTTCTGCTTACACCGGGGGAGGGGTGACTAATTCTAGCCCCTCATTTAAGATATCCATTTGTTTTCTGTTAAGCGCTATTGGACTGGTATGTAATATAAATACAAATGTCACCTGTGACAAAAGATTACAAGTCCATCAGTAGTCTGAGTTTTTACACTTTTGCTCCAAAAAATCTGACTGCTTTTTCTGGTAAATGGAGGTTCGAGACTATACTTCAGTACTTCTCAGGTTTTCTGCTACTTCGCTTGTAGAAGGCTTGTTCAGACAACTTTATCCCTGAACTTATTTATGCAACTTTATTCCTGGGCTTGGGGTTTTATGTTTGTTTCTTTGTTCTGTTGCTTTTTGTTTTGGTTTTAGTGTTTTTGTTTGTTTGTTTTTGTTTGTTTAGGTTTTTGTTTTAGTTTGGGGGTTTTTGCAGTTACTCCAGAAACTAAGTGCAGACAAATTCAATTGAAAGTAATAATTTGCAGGGAACTGTTTATATAACCTAAACCATAGACATTAAAGTAACCCTTGGCAATGCTTCTTCTCTGGGCTTTCATTTCTTTGCATTTCTTTAACAATGTTAATATTCGTATTATATACAGCACTGTTTATTTAACTTTGGCAACTGTAAGGTTACACAATTACATACAGATTCTGCTTTATTTTCTGCTCTATTTTATTTTCCTGGTACTGAATCCATAATTTTTAAACCAGCTTTGCAAACCAGAGGCAACCACAAATTTAGCCACAAAACTGAGTGTATTGTTTGCATGATTTTTTTCCTAACAAAGTAAATTTCTTCAGAGTTTAAAATATTTTATGTCTTGATTGTTTTATAGTTGCTCAGTGTCAAGTTTCTTATCTTGATGGCAGCCTGATGCTTCAAGCCGTCATCAGAGCACCTGTGTCCATTTCTCCGTTTCAGAGAGACAGGAAAAGATAATCCCAAAGATTTGTCCCTAAAAGACCCTTCTGCATTTTTTAATTTAGGGCTGTTATCCACATCCTGATCTTCCTTCACTCTCCTTACCCACTACACTTTGCAGGCCTATCAAGAACAGAGAGAACATCTTGATACTGCTAAAGGAGCACACAGAAATAAACAAGAATATAGAGGAAAACCTGCTCTTCCTGTCATCTGTACCTTTCCCTAATCACTGCAGGACACAAGGTACTTTTAACTATTCCCAGGCTGGACCATTTCAGACGCTAGAGGAGTTCAAAATGGTCTACAGCTAATCCCAGCTATGAGGTATACTTGTTTGTTCCTTGTCCATCTCTTAAGTCAAATAATGGTATTCTGTTTCCAAACTGAATGGATCATTGCTATGAGACCAAAAGACACACACTCTACTGCAGATCTTGACTTTTAAAAAGTCAACCTTTTTATTCTTTATCCAAGTCACTGGCTTGCAGATCATGTGAAAAGAAAGAAATCTGAATGACTGTGTGCAAACTGTAAGGGAAAATGCACCTCTTTTAGGAGTTTTTATTCTTCGTGGAGCACAGCTATGCTACTAATGGTTCAGTTGTGTTACAGCCTTACACATATAACTCAGAAACACTGTTTTTATCTCACATGTAACTCTTCACTCTGCTCTTTATGTAAAAACTCTTTAAACACCAGAAATGTCTTTTTCGATTCTTTACTCAAAACTCAGCTTTTCCATGGTGTCTGCCACAGACTTGTAGTTGACAGCTGTGCAGTAGAGATCTATCATAGCAATGCCAAGCATCTCAAACAATAGTTTTCATTGTGGTAGTTTCGTATGAGCCAAGATTTACATAGAGTCTCTATATGCTACATTTATAGATATATTTCATACATACACATATATGTTTACATATATTGATATAGCAGAAACAAATATGGTTACAGTCCTTTATTTCACTAACTTGTATGGATACTACCTGGCTATCTACAACTATGTCCATTGTAAAACCATGCTCATAACATCTCTTTTGTCATATCCAGTCTTACTCCTATATTGAAAGCAGAAAAATTCATTCATGTTCTCCAGTTCAGGCAAGATCATGCAAGGTGCATCTTCCTTACAATGAAGTAAGTAACAAGCAACTCTGGAATTGAAGCAGTCACAACACTAAAGAGCATAAATCAGTTTGGTTAAATGAAAGGATGTTTCTGGATATTTAGTGGATTGATAGCTCTAGTCATCATATTTTATGATTAAACTTTTCGTGTGTAGAAAATTATATTCTATTTTGTGCAAAACATTATTCACTCACTTTTTTATTGATATAATATGGGTCCAGGTCTTCCAAAGGTTCAGATACCATTCCTGGAGGTATGTCACCATAAATAAATGGCAGTGTCTTTCCTGCCTCCAAGTCACTGTTTGGTTTTGGACCATTTTCGTCATCATCATCTGTATGTTCTTGCTTGGGCTTTTTAGCTTTTTCTTCTGCACAACGCTTTTCAATAGCTGCGAGAGAATCTCTAGTAAAATAGCGGAAGCTTTCAGGTCCAGGTGGTGCCAGCAGTGCCTGTGCCATGTTTTCATCCTGCAAATTTAATTACTTTTAGCTTCTTGCATAAGAATGACCTATAAAAGAAAATTAAATAATTTAGGCAAACTAGATTGTACCTATAGAAAAGAAAACCAACATTTGGTCAGAAACTCTTTCCAGGCGTAAATAGAAGCAGCATATTTCAAGGCTGAATGAAAGTTAAAAACAGCTGCTCAGAATTTTATAAATCATTTTTCAGCTTTTTCCTGCTGATCCAGAAAAAAACCCACTATTTCTGCCCACAGACACTTCTTTGCCTCTGTCCTTGGACTCTCAGTTAGAGCAAACTGCTGATACAAGTGCTTTAACAGTATAGCTTTTTTTTTTTTTTTTTTTTTTGGTAACACCAAGTGTAAACACATGTTCTGTGAGATACTCTTGAAAATTGTAAACCTATATTTTACTACTTAGATTTTATCTTCCCATATTTTTTCAAGTATCAGTAATAAATCCTTACAAATGCAAACACGAATTAAACGAGAAAGAAAGTTTTGCACAACTAGTGCTGTTCAAATGACAGCAACTGAATTATGGGAGAAGCACGCATAATTCTTTCCTACTGACAGTTAACTGTGGTGAAGGCTAATATTATATGCCAAAGGTTAGGTTGCATTTATTGACTGACTGTGAGCTGTGAATCAAAACCACAGGCCTTTTAAGTAAAAGGAAACAGGATGTACAATCAAGACTATGTGGAAAAAGAATGCTGCTTCTGATTTTTTGCAAGGCAGGTGTCACAGTTATTACTTCAGACTGAAAGTATTTTGAAATCTGAGACTCTGGTTCCCTGTGAATGTCTGAAGTGCCAGTGCTGGATGATGCTGCTTTTTCCTGCTCTCTGCACCGAACTCTCCACTGTACAGCAGTGCATCAGCTGAAAGTCATGTTATTTTGTCTCTTCCAAGCCCTTCTGCAGCAGGACCAGTTATTTAAACTGATGCACTGTACAGCACAGCTGGGAGGTTCGAATAGCTGGAGGGAGACAATGGCAGAAGGCAGGCAGATCTGGTTAAGGAGCAGTGCCACCAGGAAGGAAATTACAGCCTTAGTTGGTGTCTACTTTGCAGTAGTTTGTGGCATAGTGTTGTAAAATTTTTACATACGTAAATCAATTTTAAGAGTGAGTTTCAATGTTTAAGATGAGTTTATGTTTTCTGTACATGAAGCCATGTAACCTTCCTGTATCCTGGAGCTGCCACGTCTAGATTTGAGACATAATATTCTATTCATTTGCACTCATTCAATAGTCTTTCTCCTAAAGCTTTTTGCCTGTCTGAAGCAGTTTGTACAAATCCACACACACAGAGGCACACACAGTAATGATCTTATGAAATAAGATGTATGAAGGCAGAGGGTGATGTTAAGAAGTGCTTGAAATATCTGGAGTAGAAAACTGGCAGAAATAAATGTAACACTATATACCTAAATCTGAATTACCAATCCAATGACATGCTGGGTAAACATGCTCCTGTGCCCCCTCAAATCTTTATCTCTGGAGTGGGTTCACAGCACAGCATTGGTGTGTATGATCAGCATTGAGGTCACTAAAATAATTTAGTCAGCACCAAGCAGCTAAGTGACACAAGACCAGAACCGAGGTACCTGACCATAAATTCATAAAGTACACTGTACTGTAGACATGAAGAAAGCTTCTCTCAAGGAATATCCTGGAGAACTATGAGTTAAAGTAATGTGCAGAATGAGAGAGATCCTGGAGTGGCTGGAGGTACAGATGCAGTATAAAAATAAAATAAACGTGGAAGCCAGCAGGCAACCTTATCACATGTTTCTACGCTGAAACTTCTGCTACTAATTTTTACTTTATACAAGATGTAAGCCTTTGCTGATCCCTTTTTTTTTTTTTAATTAATGTAAATCCCAATTATAAGAATCCTAAACTCAAAATTGCCCTTTATTTCAGAATTAAAAGAACATTCATTCTCTGGAGACAGTCCACAGTCCTTTGATTATTACTTTTGCCCATGCAGGATTAATAAACTAAGAAGATATTCAAAGTTTCCCTTTGGTCTTTCTGAATAATTCATTACTTTATTCCACACTTTACAGGTCTCTGATTCAAGTTCTCAAGCTAGGTGCCTTTTCTATGAAACTAGTCTTAAAAGGTGCATCCAAATAGAGTCATCAATGGGTCTGTCTTGTCTTTATAGTTCAGTGCATTTGTTTAGGTTGCTTTTCATGTGTTGACAGTTACAGGTGTGAATGCTACAAAACAGTGCACTGCCCTCACTTGAAATAAATGCACTGGTATTGCTAGAAGTCCACAGAGGCCAATGAGTGGCATAGGAAAGTATTAGCAGACTTGGGGTTTCACTGTATTTCTCAGACAGGAAAACAAAGGTGCTTTAAAAAAGTTTTCCTACCAAGTTGTAAACATCACTTGAGACCTGCCTCCTCTGCTCTCTAGCACAGTCTAGCACAGTTATATCTTTCCTGGCTGCTGCTATTAAAGAAGAAGGATTTTCCTAAACTAAATGTGCCTCAAGTATTTTCGTTCAGATGACAAAGCTTAATAGAACAACACAGAAATAGGATTTTTATTAGTGCTGCTATACATGCATTAATTTAATGGAAAAATGAAATGAAAGTTGTTCTGTTCCCTGTACTGAGCCCTGAACAAGCTCTTAGCAATCCTTGAATGATGAACCACTCATTTGTTAGTGATAGCTTCCCTCTCCTTCCTTCACTGGTTTTAAAATCATTTCTTATCTGGAAACTAAACTGCCAGGACATGAATGATACTAGGCAGAATTCAGAATAACTTTCACTATCAAACAATCTTTAAAGAAATAGTCTTAAAAATATGTGTGGTGCAGGCCCCTCAGTAACCTATGCTGCTCAGCATAGAGTTTCAAGCACTTGAAATACAATTTGGGCCTAGATACCATACGTATAATGGTCTATAATTCAATAAATTTCATTACAAAAATAAGGTTCCAAATTGTTAAAGGCACACTTTTGCCAAATAAATCCATATAGTTGTAACTGAGCATTGCATTTCATAAATCCTTCTCGTTTTCCTTCTGTCCCTTCCTTTAAATAATAAGATTGAACAATAAACAGTGTCCATATGTTCTTAATTTTACACATATTTCAGCTAATTATATTATGTCCATGGATAACTTATTAAACTTTTAAAAAATATAATTCTTGCTAAACTTTTTTCTAAATATAATTATCTTCTCAACATTTACACAGAAGATGAGTCAGATAGTAAGTAAAATATCTGTGCTAACAATGTCAAATTAATTTTTCTGTGTCTGAAAAAGCCAGAAGAAGTGACCTGAAGGTATCTATTTTTGGGGTATTTTAAATAGGGCAAATGGTAAAAGTGAAAGCATCAGTGTAAGTAGCAGGTAGATACTAGGATTATTTATTAAAATTATTGGGTTCTCTAACAGGTTATTTGCACTTTGCATGAAACAATGAAACAGTCCACACACACCCTTCAAAATTTTCAATATGGAGAAATAGCAAACCTTGCGGTGGTTTTTTTTGTTTGTTTGTTTTTGTTTTTGTTTTTTTTTTTCCATTTGGAGAACTGGCATGAGAATTATTTTCCTGCTAAAGCCTTGAAAAAGCTGACTACTGAGATTTTGATTCCACTAAAACTGAAACAGTTGGTTAGGGTTGGAATAAGTGCAAGGATAGCAAATGGAATCTGTAAAATGACCAACCAGCATAGTTTTCTTATGCTAATCTTTTATTTGAGAAGCTGTAATTTGGGACTAATATCCTCCTCTGTGCCAAGCCCTGCAATAGCCTCCCAGATGCTAAAGCCTGGATTAAAAACTCTCCTCTAAATCACTAGTGTTAATAAGACTAGCTGTCTCACATTGAAATAAAGCTAGTCCAAATAAATTTGTCCAAATAAAACAGGTGGGGTTCCCATGGTAGGAGAGACAGAAACACCAGGGCTAATGGCACCACCTCAGCATCAGCTGGAGATTACTTTCTGCAGGTTAGAAGTAAAAAGTGTAGCTGCTGGGTGCTGATATCATCAGAAAATTACCTCATCTCAAACTATCACTGTCCTGAGGAGGAAAGGGGTACAGAAGGAGTGTAGGGACAGTTTAAAGAGAAAAGTCTTAACTCCGTCTCTCAGTATTTGGGAAGTTGCTCTGCAAAATTCAGATATTGTTTTTTCTGGAAGTGAAGGTAAGTTACGTGTTTAAGTTACTATGCTCTGATAAAATTACAAATCAGAAAATGCTGCCTTCAATTTGTTTTAAAAGCAAAAGGATGGGTATATATTAGTTTGTTGTGGACACGATCTGAAATGAAATATTTTTATTGACATTTCTCTTGGCATTTGTGCACAGAGACTAATTTCATGAAGGAAAATCAATCCCCTTATCTGCTAAAGTGCTTTGAAATATTTAAGTTGTAGATCATTGTCCTTTCATAACTGACATTTACCATGTTTTTCCTGGTGTATCCATCCTATTTTTTACTTCTTTAAAAATATTTGAGTAAGAAACAGAATTTTGAAAAGAAAAAAAGAGACCCAAAATGTCACTGCTGTAGTTCACAGTGGTTCACAGTGGTAAATGCAATGCAAGGCGGATTTATTTGAGATATCTAAAGAGACATCCAGTCAAATCTATCCGTGGATCCTAAGGCAAGGAATCCATGCAAGTTGGCTTCACAAAAGTGGGTATTTCAAGGAAAGGATGACTTCCTTAAAGCTGAAAACAGCCTCCAGTATTTAGCACCTGGTCAGAACCTGCCTCTTCTTTAAACTATAACCTACTAATTTAAACTATGATAGTTTGTGTTTACAGGTCCTCACGGACTAACATATAGGATTTATTTTCCTTTTTTTCCATTCAGTTCAACATTCACCATTCATCCATTGTGTCATTTTCTTTAGACTATAATTTATCTGTAGCAACGACTATAATTTTGTCTGTATTTGTACAGTCAGCCTCAGTAGCCTGTAGGCATTAGTGTTATGTAACTATTCGAAATAAAATTAATTAAATCACCACCAGGTATTTATCAATAAAATTAATAAATCACTAAGACAGACACACTTACTTGTTATAAGAATACGAAATCAACTACTAAGGGTATGTCACAGAAATAATATTCCTTAATAAAAACTTGCTTTAAAATTTTTTTAGAATGGGGTAGTGATAAGTACCGGTAGTTCACATTGGCTGAAACCTGACCAAAGAACGGTACATGTAGTAAATACTTCAGGTGCTGCAGGGATATTACATGCAATTTTATTTAATATCCTCAGTAATGCCTTGCATTTAGGTGTGAAAGCACATTAACTAAATTTTTAGAACCCCAACCTCAACAAAAGAAAACACTGTACGAGTTGGGAAATCTGGTAGAATATATTATATGAGGTTCAGTCTGACTGGTGAAAGACTAGGCAGATGGGAAAACACTCAAAACAGATTAGATTAGAGACTGGAAAGCAATTTCAAAACTATCTGAAAGATCCAGAAGCTGCACCTTGGGAAAATATTGTTGGACACTGTTTACTCTCACCAGACCTTGCTATGAATAGTCTTTCCCCCACTTCTTTGCCTCTTTATGCCCATTGCTATCCCACAGCCATCTCTTTTCTTCCCTCTGTCTCACTGCAACATTTGCTTTTGAATTAATTTGTTCCTATTTCTTCTCTCCTCCTGCCTAGGAGTGGTAAATCATGGATTATGATTCCTCCACCAAGGCCAACTGTGTGTACTAAACTGGAGTAAAAACTGATAGTTATGTAAAGACATGAATCTAGATTCCTCAGATATGTACCTGCACGTTGCAGAACTCCCAAAATAAATCATCTGACCCATTTATTTGTCAAAATTCACCCAAACCTCTAGGAATTCTTTAAATGGAGGCCTGCTGTATACTTTCTTCAACACCAAAAGTTGCCTCCGAGAAAGTGTGAAAAGAGATCAAGTGTTAACACTTGAAATATTGGAGAAACCTGAAGTACAAATGAAAACCATACGTAATTTAAGAGGAAGAAGAAGGGCCTCTTTCTTATCCCATCAACTAAATTGGAATACAATACTTAATTAACATTTTGCAAATACCTTCGAATGTTAAAGATGCTTGCATTATAATGAAAAATAGCTCCAATATATGTAACACAAATTTCTATGACTAGACCTCATTAAAGGTGTTCATCTCATTTTCCTGCTGGTATTTTAGTGAAGGAATGTAGTGTTATATCAAAAGGCCATCTTATGAAGTGAAACATTATTTCTGGCTGAAAAGAAAAGTCTTACCTTTATTTTTCTAAAAATGCCAAATCTCAGAATTTAGCTTACGTATCCTGTGCTAACGTGAAAAAAAAACTGCATTTCTCACAGAAAATGGAATTGACAAGAAAAGTTTCTCCTTGGGAGCTGAAGCTTCTTCAAGACTGAAGTTTCATTAAGACTCTCATTCTTTGCTCCTGTGTCCAAAGCTTCTCAAAATTAATTGCGGTAGAGGTAAGTCTACATATTCACATAGACATATTTTTCCAACCTAAGGGCACAGAGAGGTAGGAAAAGCAGGATTCAAAATGGGTTATTCCAAAAAACCTTATACAAACCAAAAGTACATTTAAGAATATTCTTTAAGTGATATGAGTTTCAAAAATCCCTTTTAAATTCCATTTAATCCTTTACCTGCACGCTTTAACTAAAAGGGGAAAATGAGTCTTGTTGACATTACTGCATGACTAGTGGAGTCTTTAGTAGACATGGGATAAAGATAATTGTGTGCCCAGGCTAACAGCGGGCTCCCATCTGCCACTTGGGGAACTGCACAGTGTATCATTACTCCCCACTGGATTTACTGTCTTTAACCAGAAATAGAAGTTAATTAACTTTGTATTTGCATGAAAATACAGACACTTCTTCAAGTTATTTTTCTCAGGAAATGTTGGTTAAAGTGTTTTTCTTTGCATAAAATCTTTTTCCTCCATGTCAGGTAATGTAATAGCAGACAAAGACGGTATCTTCAGGTTCCTCAGTTAAAGATTGCATCATTACAAGAGCTGACCAAAGATTGGTTGTGGCTTCTTCGGTCTTTAATAATCTGAGTATCTAGTTAATTAAACAGTCTACTTACATCTTACAAATTTTTGTCTTCAGCCATTGAGATTGAGATGAGCTGTCTTTGAGACATTTATTCTCATTTGGATATCTCATCTAGATGTATTTCTGGATTTTTTTTTGTTCTTTTTTATATTGTTGTTATTTTGCTTTTACTCCTAGAGAAGAAAAGAAGAAGAAGACATCCCTCTCTTTTAGGTCTCTGCTCTTGCCAAAGCAGCCCTCAGTAACATTTTTATCCAAATATAGTGAGAATGAGCAGCCACTGTAGAAACTCTGTAGATAAAATAAAGAAAATCTGAGTAGACATAAATCAGGTCAAAGAGAACACAGAAGGTAGAAAAAACAAAAAGTGAAAGCTTTCTATTAGACCACTGCTTCTCCTGTTTTTACATTAGATCTCCAAGTCCTCTTACAAGAAAATATGTTTCAAAAACTAACCTAGAATTTACCTAGTATTAGTTCCTATCAATCTAGAATTACATTTTCCCCAAAGATACAGTAAGTGCTACCACAATCAGAGCTTCAATTGTTTAATAATGTAGCATCAAGTCATTCCAACGATTGCTAAGAGCAAATTCTTTCAAAGTCTTGGTCATTTTGAGTAAGGCACTGATTCAGCACATTTTGCTGTGGTGAGTCACTACTGGAGAGGCTCCACTGAAGACATCTGAAAGCTGTGTCTCCAGTACTAACCTCAGGGGATCATGACTCTGCCACCAGTGATACTTATCCACCAATGCATATTTTACACTGAATGCAGCTTTCCCTGGGGGTACACGGGGGACTTCCCCATCCCTTTGCCTGTTGGGTGCATCTGGATCCTGCCTCTGAAGCAGCGCTGTGGCTGAAATCTGATCTCATGGTCAGATAGAGCAAAATGTTTAAGTGCTGCTGCGCACAGATTTAAAAATAATATGAAAGGAATTCGATAGCTTATTAAAAGACTAATCACTAATATGAAATATTCATATGACACTTATTTTCAAAAGAGTTTTACAACTATCAAGCTGTAAAATATTTGCCAGTTTGAAAAATGCTGAGGAAGCAATTTTGAATGTGGAAATTGTTCATAGCACTAGCAGTGCAGGTAATTTCAATAAGTCTGTATTTTGAATTAAAGCAAAAGACAGAGAACTTTTTTCGCATGTAACCCTATCATGTCATCTCTATGCATCATGGTGGTACAGCAGTATCAGTGGTAGTCACAGCAAATCTTGAAGGAAGGAGGTTGGTTGAATTGTGAGCCCTTTGTCCTGAATAAAAGGCCTAGGCCATGTCAGTGTGATTTCATCACAGGATTTCAATTAATATCTCATCTCATATAGTTTGTATCTTTTCTTTGTATAACACAAATATTTGCAATACACTAAAAAAACCAAACTTTTTTTTTCTTAAATGAATGTCTTTGGTTATCACCCAAATACCAGAAATTTTCATAGGTGGGTCCAGATTATACAGTTTTACTGTAGCTGAAGGTGATGATAGAGAATTATTTTGACTGATAACACATGGACCAAAATAATTTTTATTTAGGGTAACTTATCTTGATCATCTCCCAAGAATGAATCATAGGTAAAATCTCAGGCCTAGTCAGAGGTGATTCCTGGTAGACAGACCAGATATATGTCTGTATACCTGTAAGGTCCTGCCCTGAAGTCTTCAGCATGTATGGCATAAGCATTTATTTTAAGACTTGTTAGAATATCTTTCAAATTCTGAGACATGATATTGCTTCAAAAAATGTTTCAAACTATATCCTCACACACTTGAGCTCCCTTTCAATGTAATGATAAAATGGAAAAGAAAGAAATGGGGTTATTAAAAATTGGTCTCATCAAGACCATTATAGGGCAATATGCCAGGGATGGTGTCAACTAAGTGAAATCTAATGTTAGAGGCAAATGCAATGAACAGAAATCATGGGTAACCATATGGACATTTGGTGTTAAGCAATCATGAAAGTGTCGACCCAGTTTTAGATTAACAACAGAGTTATCCACAAAATTAATGGCACCAATTCAAATAATTCTTAATATTTTCTGTACTCAAAATTTAAATGTGCTGGCAAGTGAAACACTGGTACATTCACCAGTATCCACTGGAAAGGTGTTAAACAAGTTAAGATAAAACATCAGTTCGCAATATCTAAATACATTGCAGCATTGATTTTGCTTGTAAAAAAATTAGAAAGCTCAGTTTGTAAAGTAATATTCTCTTCTAAATTTTTCTAAGGAAACTTACGAAAATGCATTTGCAACAGAAAATATTGCTTATGAACTTAAGAAGAAATAACAAACTAAACTCAGAAAATTAATTGAATCATTACGACCCATGCAGCTGGAACACTTACTTTCCTAGTCTTACTATGCCCCAGAAACTAATCAATACAAAATATGAAAGAATAAACATCATATAGCACAAGATTAATGGACTGTATTTAGAATTTGACAGTTGTCTAGGAAACTGAAAGGGAAAAAACTGGAACTTCTGTTTGAGAGGCTTACACACAGTTCTTGGCTGAATGTGATCGTTACTACACAGGGAGGAAAATGCACAGAAAGTCAACATGAAAATAGAATGCTTTATACTGGGGTTTAACACAGCATATGAAAAATGTACTTGGATTTCTCCAAGGCATTTATTCCAGTATCATGGAAGTGACTAATAAAACTTAACCAAGCCTTAGGTTTGGAATGTTTTCCAAATGTATTATGGGAGTATGACTTTGATCTAGTCACTATCTGCACACAATAAATCCAAAGAGGGAAAGCATATGAGTTGCAAATTCTACCACCTCTTTAAAAGTTATCTCTTGTAATATCAAAATTTCAGTATATTAACAAAATATTGTACTAATTGGAGGCCTATAGCTTTAAGTAACATACACTACAGAATAATAGTGTTATAGCAGCTCCTAGAACTCTAGTATTCTTCCTGTTATAACACTAACTAAAGCAAATTGATGTGTAGGAAATACATGGTAAGTAACTTAAACTGGTATAAGTAAAAACTTTTGAGGAAGGTTCCTTAAATACTCAGTTACAGCTTCACTCGGTAGGTAAGGAATTCCTTCATAATACAGGTTGAAGCTTATTTATATTGCTTTTGGTCAGAACTTCTGATTCAGGTCACATTTCCTCATATGAGCATTTTTGGCTTTAAATATTAGTGACAGTCTTTTCTTTAGACATTTCATGTAAATGACAGTAAACATTAGGACTGCCCTTCTTCAGTTTAATCTGACCTTGGACTCTTAGGCCATTTTGAGATTACTACTTATTTCCATCATCAAGTTTACACAACTCAGACCTAAAAATAACATTACTGATTGCCTTTTTTTACTGTATATTCTAGTACTTTAGCTTTCATCTGTCATAACATGTTCTACAGATGGTTAGGCTACTAAGTTTAATAACCTTAAATTTATTTATTTTTTTTTTTTAAGATTCAAAGCCGTTTGTTATGAGTGGAGTTTGCTCCTTGGTAAGATGCAAGAGTGCAAGTTAGGTGTATGCTTTCACTTACCATTTAAAAGTGCTCTTTATGTAACATAAAAGTTATTCCACAGTTTAGATTTAGAGAATTATTTTTCTATAAAGATTGTTATTTAATGGAAAACACACTCAATTATCTGTCGAGATAATAATAATTATCTGTGGTGAAAAATGTCTATCTCTGAGTGTCACTGTAGACTTAGGTTAACTTTGCTAAAATGTATAGGGATTCTTCATTCCTATGACTTAATATCCTAATTTTGTAGTCTACCAGTTTGATCCTTCCTATCTAACTGTTGCACAATCACATATATATTGAAAAGTAAATGCTCTTCATAGTAATAACTGTGGAGAAATTTCCATGTTCAAGGAAATCAAGTTGGTATAATGTTAACTGCATCTGAGAAAAAAAAAATCCTGTGTTTTTAGGTGGGACAGAGGCAAATTCACCTTCAGATTTCCAAGACCACCCACACAGATTTCAAATATTAATAAAAAGGGATAAAATACTCTTGTATCAAAGTCTTGGTTCAGTCCCTCAGTTGTCCTCTGTGGCTGGCCTTTTGAGAAGGCAGTGAGACTTGTTTGCTAAGTGCACTCATTTTAACGTTTGAAAACTTCATACTTGGACATACTTAAAATTAAACCAAGAAATTTGGTCTTCTGAGAGCATATTCTTAACCGGGGAAATTTGGAATTCTTCAGTTTGTCCAAGCATTAAAAAATGGCACAATAATGCCTAAGAAGGGGCAGAGTTTTCAGGATATTCAAACCAAGGCAGGCAAAAATTTGGGACATGTGGGCCCAAAGTCAGGTACATGGAGTCAGGAAATTTCTGCTTCTATTCCAGGATGACCAGGCAATCAAAGGACATGATTTATGAGAAATTATGGCAGATTATTTTCTCAATTAATACAGTAGCCAGGCCACATAGTGCTACATTGCCCTGCATAAAAGGAACTATTTTTTCTTCTGAGCAATTAATTTCCTTCTTTAATTCTTCATCTGCATTTCTGTAGTGATTTTGAACACAGACTTGTAACCTTCTAGGAACCTATATAATCATACATAATAATATTTTATGATTAGGAAGGTAAATTAAGTTTTTTTGTTTCACATTGTTCTTAAAATAACTTATGCTAAAAGACCATAAACACTGCTCCCCTCTCATACTGAAAATGAAGGCTTAAGATTAAATAAGCATCATCTAATTTAAGCATAAATAATCTATAAATGGAAATTGTCTGCAACGTATACCTATCCCGAGATCATCCTGATCATACTGGGGTATGACAAAGCGCAGTAGTGCTGATACTCTTCCCTGCCATTTTCCATACTGGCATCTGTGATAACCTTTCAGATTTAGCAATGTGCCTGATACTTTTGTTTAGGAAATCCTGCAGTGAAATACAAGGATGTGCCTGAGGCATTGCAGGGATAGGGAGTCAGCTGTAAGTGCTCTTCAGGCGATCTATACATATGTAGTAACTTCAAAACATGTGAAACATCAGCTTTGCTAAGCAGACACAGCATGTATGCAATCAAAATATCTAGGATATACAGTCAGTATATACATATTCAAAATCTGACGATTTGATAAGGATATTTGACATTGAGCAGGTGGATCCAAAGAAGTGGCTGCAAAAACAATTCCAGGTTGAAAAGGGGACCTGTGAACATGGTAGCTCTGTGATTACACTTCCCTAAGTAACACTACTCAGTAAAAAAAGAGATCAATAGCAATAACGATTAATAACTAGGCAAGTAATTAATCTGATCATAAATAAGCTTTACATGTGAAAAAGCCTCATAAAAGCTCAAGCTTTTAGATTCCATTTTAATGTTTTAGTTGCATTTTTCACTGTAAAACACATTCTGTGATTTGACATAGCTGATAGCATAAGAGAACAGTAATTTTTTGTAAGAAGACGTAACAAGACTGGTGACCACATTAAAATTTATTAACAATTTGAAATCACACTTTTGGGGTAGATTAGCTGGTGTTTTTTGAGTTTTTCTTTTATTGTTTGTTTGTTTTGCTTTGTGGTTTGGTTTTGGGGTTTTTTGGTTTTTTTTTTTTTTTTTTTTTGTACTGGGAAGAAATAATTTAGGGTTGGGTAATGAACAAATGAGATACTAGATACTTTTGTGACCTAGAATTTAACTTGCTTACTCCTCTTTAGGATTACAGTGGTACTACACACACACTATGGTTACTCCAGAGCATATGGTGTTCTTACTCTATATTTATATTCAAAGTAATACAGCGCTTGCCTGAGCTGCTCTTATCCCTATTCCCTCTGCTTTACCTCATCGCAAGACAAGGAAAGTCAAGCAGTAACACTATCATAGTAACACACTAGGGATTCCCAGCTGTGCATAAGGATGATTTTGATGAAAGCAGATGAACTGGTTGTAAGATACCAGCTCCAGTATCAAGATCCTCTGGCAGTCCTATTGGTCAAAATCAAACTTAAAGAGATGCCACTGCAATGTGCTTCAGAGCTTTTAATCAGGAGTAGTAGATGTAATGAGTAACATCAGGTTTCCAATTAAGTGGATGACTTTTCCTATAGATGGATTTTATGGTGGTTGACGCTTTATTTGATGGACTCACTGAAACCCCAGTTCAGAGTGTGTACATGTGTTCTGTAAGCAGTCTGAACTAGTGAGCACTGATTTTATTATGATACTTCAAACCTTGTGAGGATGAAAAAGCAAATATTTCCTGCAAATGGTAACAGCATATACTACTGATTAACAGCTATAAGCTAAATTAAAAACACCAAAGGGTTACACTGAGTGGAAAATAAGCTAACTAGAATTTGGAATGTAAAGTTTCTAACTTCCAAGTAGAATTTTGTGATAAAGAACAGAGTAAATGTAACTTCCTGAAACTTATTTTAAATAGACATTTTCAGAGTTCAGCAAATAGATCATCTTAGCAAATAAAATACCAAATATCAGAAACTTGCATTTATATTCCCTTAGGTTTAACTGCAATTTTTTTTCATTAGTCATCTTATGGCAAGAACAGCATATGGGTAAAATAGGCCAAGATTTGCACTTTAGAGAACAAGGTCACAACTTGCTTGCCTTGTACAAAGAACTCTCTTAGTATCTGCTATTCTCTGATTCATGAAAAGTTGTGGGACTCCAGTAATTAGTACATTGCTTAAACACAACAAATATACTGGGTGAGATGTGAGCAGCAGAACGAAATGGATATCATCAGTCAGAAAGTTCCATCTTACATCCTACTGCCCTTTTTTCTCCTAAAATCCTTGCTCTTTTGAGGGCAAATCTCTCCAAGCCTAATCCTCATAAGGTACAAGTTAACTCATCTAATGCTATCTGTGAGGAAAAAGAGGTAGAAGCACAAAATGTGTCACTGGCATATTGATTAAACCCCCCATACTTTCTATACTTCCTTGTTTCCCCTGATCCTTCCTCGCTCCAGGTTACCTGATAACAAAGGGAAATTACCAAACTACCACTGACAGTCTAAGAGGGCATAGGGGAATTTTTTTATGTTCTCCATTGAAAATGTGAAATTGTCTACCTTTGCTAGCATCTACTGTTAATCTAAACAGAATTTTGCAATACTGAGCTCAGTTGGTACAGCTCAGAAAATCGGTATAGGTGCTTAACTTCTGCTTATTAGAGGGAAAAATCATCAGCTGACAACACAAGCATCATTTCTGTAAATATCAAGGCCTAATAAAAAACGTATCTGTTTAATGGGTGCTATGAAGCTTTGAATTACTGCAGTAGCTCACATTCTTGTCTTTAACAATCTTTCATCCTCAGATGGAGATGTGCAGGAGAACAAATATTAAATATTAAACTGTTAGGGTTAAAAAGTCTCCTGAAACTGTTTTCTTGACAAATCAATTATAAAAGCACAAACATGATACATTTCTAAAACAAACAGCATCATTATTACTGATTATTTATTTTGAAGTTACACAGGGACATCACAGGCACATTGATTTGGCATCATAAAAAAATACAAATTAAAAACTTCATTCTTTCGTGTCACTACTTCAGGTACAGGCCTCACTTGCTACTCTGAGTACCACCTGAGAGCAATCCAGCTTTCTTGTCATGTATGGATTGAGGTGGTGATTTGTAATCTGTGGGCTTCTTATTCTACTGTATGGGGTTTTCTGGCATTTTTTTATTTCTACTGTTTTCTTTTGGAAATATTTTCCAAATCAATACTAACATAACACATATACTTTTAATGTCTATGTGTGTCTGTAGAGCCACTAGTAAAAAAAAGAATTCACATATCAAAGTGATCTTCAACAGATATTTTCCATTTACCTTTAATAACTGACAGGTTTAATTATCACTGATAACAATGAATGAGACAATGGATGAATGGAAAATAAAACAAATACAATAATTCTTTTGCTGATTTCTCCAAACAGTCCTGTTAAGAAGCATATATTAAGCTTGACAGTAATGTTACAGACAAAATGTGAACTATATATTTAGTGTGGACCTCTGGTTAGTTAACAGTTGGTAAGCCCATTCTCTCGTACACACAGACACACAAGCATGAAAAAAATGGCAAAGAAAGAAAATATTTCCTTATATATATTTTACAAAATTTATCTAATAAGGGAATTTCTTCAGATACCATATATATATATATTGAAAATAGCAGTAACAAACAACAGAGATTTTATTCCTGAATCATCAGAATCTGAGATGCTCAGAATCTTATGAGACCTGCTGTTCCTGAGTCTGAATATCACCAGATTTTTCTTCCTAGGAAACAAGGAACAAGGTCACTTCAATAAAATGCTTGGAATTAATGTAGTATTCCTTGATTATAAAATGATCTGATTTTGCAAGTAAGAGTACTGCATCACAACATCACATTAAGAGTAGAGGCCAGATACCAGATTTAACGAGGTTAAAAAGAAAAAATGTCACACCATCATCACAGTCAGTCAGTACAAAATGGCTTTGAATTCCCCGTTCCATCTTTGGCTCTACCTTAACAGCAAACCAGAGGGTACAATCCAATTCCGAAACGTGGAAAAGATCATGTTGCTATGATTTATTATGGGTAAAATGAAATGCATTTCCAGCTTACCTGATTGAAGGAGAATGAACAACCACAGCAAAGCCCAGCATCCAAAAATAATATATGTCTCCTCCTAAAATAGTCCAGATTTCCATCCACAAAGCTTTACTAATTAATTATAATTTCTGTATTCTCAGTGGAAAAGAAAACACAGAGACCTTTCCAGAATCCTCTGTGATTCTGCCTCCGCTTCCTGTTCTCAGTCTCACTCTATGGTACCCAACATATATCAGAAAACAGCTTATTAGGAGAAGGGGGGCTGGAGGGAGGGGGGATGGATGGAGGGGGAGAAGCGACGAGCCCGCAGCACCTGACGTGGCAGCTCCACCTACTGGTGGCCAGAACAACAGGGACCGAGCGCAGCCTCCGAGGCTGCTCCAGCCCAGGCGCTCTGACCTGCACCTCAAACAGCTCCTGGGTAATAACTTCCTTCAGGCGAGAAGCAGAACAGATCAACAGAACCACATTGTTTGTTGAATAGCCCCTTAAAATACTTTTTATTAAAATAATTAAATTTAAATTGTCTATATGCATTGAGAAGAGCATTTAGTTCTAAA